TCAAGCTCTCAGAGGAAGGAAAAACAGAGAATCAAAACACACGGTGGTTCAATGGCTGTCGCGCGCCTGGTTCCCGATTTGGTATATTATACCCGCCCAACACCGTCAACCCGCGGTGAATGGCCACGGTATGCTCAAGGGTACGACTATCCTACTCCGTACCCGTACCCTCCAAACCCGTCAGCATAGAACCGCGGTGTTACCCGTACCCGTGCGTTTCCCTAATGACCCATGATTTATCTCCCCATTGGTATTCTACCACTGAAAGCTTCCGTCCTCCATCCCACACGCAATTATCTTCCCGTCTAGTGAAAGTGTCAGTGCATAGATCCACCCCCCCTCACCTTTCCATGGTTCCCCAACAACAAGTCCCGTGTCACAATTCCACTTGCACATAGTGCCATCCTCTGAACTACTCACGATGCGGACGTCGTCGTGCAAGAAAACAAAATCCTGAATCGCTCCCTCTTGCCCTTCAAATTCGTGTTTCATAATTGGTTCATCCCCTTTTGCTGTGGTCAAACTTCCTCGCGGGTCTACCTTCAAAGAATCTAGCAGCCATGGCTCGTTACCGTCATCTGGTGGATCAATCATACTCTACTGCATTCGGCGATCAATTATGGAGGCAAACAAGTTGGCCAGCACTCACTGGTTTGTCTACTGGTCTGTTGCTTGGGGGCAAGCTGGCAAGGCGAGTCTTCATGTCCTGCAGGTGGAAGGCATGCTTTCCACGAGGTGGTGCTAATTGTCCATCACAAGTTCTTATCGCATCGGTTTGATGTTTGCAAACAGCGATCCCCAACGATCCAATTCCAGTCATGTTTCGATGCATATATACTCAAGGCAATGCATCGACCAATAAGTAACACAGCCTCTCCCGTCTATCTATGGTTTACTTCAGAGTTCATGTTGTTCATCATACCTTGCACTCTGACCATCTCTTACTCCTTTAAAGCTCTACTCTCCCAAAACACGACACAACACCTTTCAGTACTCGTTGACGTCAGGATGAGCATACACGAGACAACAGAGGTGCAGGTATGAGGCATAGAGGTGCACAAGGGAGGTGCACAAGGGACGCTGGGTGAGTGCATCTTGCTCCCGGTATTTGTGATGTATATTCATCTGGAGTTGGACTGTATCTTCACCTTCAATCAGTGCTCGCGGGAGAAGGCGACCTTCCCTTATTTCCTGCATGTATTGTCCCGCAGCCTCATGTTCGTCCTGGATCCATCCTTCGTGTCCCATGTCCAACAACCACACCAACAACATCACGAGGGACCTCTCTTTCACCCGGATTGGGCCAAGCTTGCCGGTTATAGTATTCTACATGTAGATCGCACAATTCAATCCGCCTAATATAATTCTGTTACCATGTAAGAGCATACATCTTGTCCTACTTTGTGGCAACTGAGTTCACCTCCACTTCTTCGCTATCACCTTTTCGGACAAGGATTATTCCATCGTGGATCCAACGCTCAGAGCAAACAACAAGCATTAGAGACAGGATCCGCAATAAAATGGGGAAGATGGTGAGCGTTAGTACAAGTGGTGTATGGGTTGATCGATGGATATGGTGAGGGCAGGTCGTAAGCGTCAGAGCTGGGCAATGAGAGATAAACGAAACACAGAAGAGCAAATGAAATAATGAAACCTGCAACACGCCCATGAGATTTTGAATCGCTTAAAGGTTTGCTTGCTAGTCGACCCTGCCCTCCGAGGGAGGTGACGCGATCGCATCCAGTAAGTTCTTCGTCGTGATTCGGGCGAATGGCGAATGGGTGGGGTACGTCGAGAGCATTATAGCTATTAGACAATAGGGAGTTTTTGCCAAGAGATTTATCAATAATTTTATTATGTAACTTGCGGGCCGTTGATTTTACACCTAGTCGGGACAAATTGTTTGGTGGAGAAATGACTTAGAACTTGCCGAACTCTCGACAACTCCTTCCTGTGGTCTCGATCATGACGCTTCAATTGGTTGCCAGTCCGACGACCTCATCTGTCAGTGGTACATGAATCGAACTCGTTGTTGTGCTCCCTTCTTTCCAGCTTCTTTCCTCGTTGTCTAGCAAGGTTTCTGCCGACAGTGGGATTGAGTGGGGCTACTAAGTGGGAAGATTTGACAGCTGAGGATGATTGAATAAGGTACCGGTGCCGTTCCCAACCAGTGTACGCGGTTAGTACTACACATCATTCTAGACTTGGAGTCACAGGACGACAACACACGCCAACTCTCATGGGCCTAACGGGTGCTATGCCGTAGCCGTCTTATTGTCGACGGCCTGATGAGTTGTCCAATCAAATCGGTACACACAGAGAGACCACATGTGGATGATACCGATTTTCTCAGTAGCGCATGCGGACTGAGGATCTCAGAAGAGCATGATCATGCGGAGAATCGGCTAACGTCACACGAGGCCGGCAAAATTGTTATCGTATCGTATATAACAATGTGTCAACTCCTTGTGAGTGCAAGCCTTTCCCGTACTGACGATGAGACTCATCTCTCTATTCGGGCTCCCCTTCGTGGCTGCTCTCGCTAGCGCGGCAGTGCCCTTCAACTTGAAGGACTGCCAGCACAAGGTGAAAGAGAGCATTCATGGACCGCCCCGCGGATGGTCTAGGCATACTCCCGCGCCCAAGCATCATATGCTCGAGCTCAAGATCGCTTTGCCTCAGGCCAAGTTCCTGGAGCTCGAGCAGCACCTCTGGGAGGTGAGCGACCCCAGCCACCCACGCTATGGGGCGCACCTGTCAAAGGAAGAGACTGATGTTCTCACGGCTCCCCATCCCGAGACTTTGGACATTGTCAATGAATGGCTTGCTTCACACGGCCTAGCGGAAGAAAGTCTCATTCGTTCATCGGCACACGATTGGGTTACTATTCGTGTCCCAGTCGGCCTTGCCGAAGAGATGCTGGATACCGTGGGCAAACCAATATCGTCTCCGGAGATTACGGTCCATTGACTGCTAGATGTCTAGACTTATTATGTTTACAAGCACGCTGACACCGGAGAGAGCATCGTCCGGACCACGAGTTACAGTCTCCCGGAGATCTTGCATAACCATATCGATCTTATACAGCCTACGACCATGTTCGCTCGCTTCAAGGCGTTCAAGAGTACGCTGCACTGGGATAACCAGTTGCAGCCTCCAGTCTTGAGCATGTCTGGTGGAACGATCACAGGGCCTGCAGGCAATCAGGTCAATGCAAGTTGCAACAGCACGATCACGGTTTCATGCTTGAAGCAGTTATATAATGCGGTAGCTTACAACACTTCTGCTACGAGCGGCAATAAGCTGGGTCTCACTGCTTATCTGGGCCAGTATGCCAATAACATGGACCTCCAACAATTCTTCCAGCTTGAAAACCCATCTGCTTACGGTTCAAACTACACTTTCGTTTCTGTTAACGGTATGCGGCACTCAAAGCTCAGTAGCCACGTTGCTGATTTGTTCCACAGGTGGATTAAACAATCAGACCTATGAGGCAGCAGGCATTGAAGCTAATCTTGACACTCAGTTTGGCTTTGGACTCACATGGCCCACTCCTGGAACGTTCTACTCGACTGCTGGCGAGCCCCCTTTCGACCCTGATATGTTGACGCCGACCGATACAAATGAGCCATACTCATACGTAAGCTTGGGCCACTGTGATCAAACTTTCAATGTGCTAATGTCTACAATCCCAGTGGCTCGATTATGTTCTTTCGCAGCCTATGCTTCCGCAGACGATCTCTACCAGTTATGGTGACGATGAGCAAACTGTCCCATTCACCTATGCAGCCCGTGTCTGCGCCGGCATGGCAGTTCTCGGTGCTCGTGGAGTTTCCGTTTTGTTCTCCTCTGGTGATTCTGGTGTTGGTGATGGCGATCCCGACCCTGCCACACAGATGTGCTACTCCAATGACGGGCTCAACGTCACGAAATTCCTGCCTAATTTTCCCGCTTCCTGTCCATAGTGAGTGATCTCGGCAATCGAGCAGAAGAGTACAACAACTAAAGATCGGATAAAGCGTGACGACTGTGGGCGCCACTGTCAATATCCCAGAGACTGCTGTATCCTTCTCTGGTGGTGGTTTTAGTGACTATGTGAGGAATTTGACGGCTATGATCGATACCTGCTAAAATACTAACACGCTCCCACCAGTTCGTTCGTCCAGCATACCAAGAAGTTGCTGTCTCAGAGTACCTAGCAAAACTCGCACCTGGTACCTATGAGGGTCTCTACACCTCGTAAGTGAGATGAACCACTCCCATCGGTGCACATTAATCGAGTCGCTTATTTGCAGTTACGGGCGCGTAAGTGACCTCTTCAGTATGTAAGGATTTGACGGCTAGCATTCATTCAGGCCTATCCCGATGTTTCAGCCCAGGGGGTGAACTTTTCTATCGTCTACCAGGGCCAGACGGTGCTCGTTGACGGCACATCCTGTTCTTCACCCACATTCGCCTCGTTCGTTTCCATGTTGAATGACGCACGCCTTAATGTCGGCAAAACCCCTCTTGGCTTCCTCAACCCTTTCTTGTACTCCACTGGATACACCGGGCTGAATGATATCACCGCGGGCAACAACCCAGGATGTGGAACTCAGGGCTTCAACGTATGTCATATCTACATACGCTCAAGTCGTGTTACTGATCTAATGCCTATGCGCAGGCCACAACTGGATGGGATCCTGGTGAGTGCATGCATTTAGCGAGTAGTTTCCTATTTCGGTGTTGACAATACCTGCAGTTTCAGGCCTTGGGACACCCAATTTCGAGAAGTTGGAGGCACTGGTGTTGAGCATGGCCTAAATATTCCAGATGAGTGGACAATCTGTGGTGTGTACATCATGAATAGACACCAGGCATATACAGTTGTAACGGTACTATTACGATAGACTCAGAGAGGCCCTCCGAGTCGGCATAGATGAGACGCTGAAGTCAATAATGACTAAAGGTAATTACAGGAAAGAGTACCCAGTGTTTTCCCCTGCAATGGACGGCGGCTTGTAAGCAGAGCGACTGAGCATTGCTTCACAGTGTACACGTCAGTAAGAAATCTTATCTAGGCACGGGGACTGGGAGGAAATAGCCTGAAATAGCATATTTGAGGGTCAAACATCACAAAATCACTGCCCGGAAATTGCATCTTTCACGTCCATCAGGGCAGGTTTGTAGGACACTTGTCAAGTAGACCTGGTGAACTTTATTCCGACCTGTCCCGACTCGAATACATGCTCTCAGAGCTCTCAAGCGCCTCATCAAACACGATCCTGCTTCTCCCAACAAACGCACTCATCATAACAAACCTAGACCGTGAACCGATCAAACCAACTCACGATTCCCTTAGCGCTCTCCTCCTTCGCCCAGCCTGCATCAACATTCATTCAATACCTTGCCAATTTCGATGTGTAAGAAATTAAACCAGGCCACTCACGTTGCGTGTCAATAGCCGGATCACATCGCACAGCAAACCCATGTTTGACGCCTGAAAACACCTGGAAATGATACGTGCATTTACGAGCGACCATGATGTCTTCTGCACGTCGACGCGAGGCGAGTGGGAATGTGTGGTCTTCCTCTACATATAAGAATAGAATTGGGAATCGGTAGGTTTAGTAGCGATCGCGAACATCTGTAAGGAGGAACTTTACCTGCGCAAGAGAGAAGGAGAGGTCCTGTATTGATGCAATGATTGGTTAAGGCAGCCAGATGATATATCAAGCACAAAAGACGTACTGTCAAGTTTCTCGAAGTGGCTTTCGTCGAGGAATGCGGGGTGAGCCAGTGCTCCTACAGTCCTCGCGTAGGTATCCTTCTTGAAAACTGTTGGATCACTTACCAGCAACTACAGATCCATCAGAACACAAGTCCAGGACAAACGAGGCGCCGAAGCAGTACCCTGATCACAGGAATTCAGCCTCTTTTCAATTTCGGCGTGATTTTTGTATCGACGTACCGACAGCACAATACTTGGTATTCTCCCTTCCTGTACATATCATATACACATTTCGGCGACTTGGAAGTGACACGAAACAAACCACATACCGTATTTTCCTTTCACGGCGTCTAGCCAAGCGGGGAACGCATCGATAGCAGGTTTGCGGGAATTGTCAATCCATGCCTGGCGATCACGATCAGCCTCGTGGTTCATCACGGAGTCGCCAAAGAAGTAATCAGGCCCAAGGACGATATAGCCTTGTTTCATTCATCTCATTATCGGTTCACAATGTATGACGTTGGCAATGGGACGTACCACAGGACGCGAAATAATCTTGAATCAACTTATTGTTAACGAAAAGCGGGCCCCACACGTCTGCCAGGAAGAGTATCACTTTCTGTGTGGGGGCAGGAGGATCGGAGATGTATGTTGGGATTCCACCGAGGTCCTCGATGCGGCCGACGGGTGTGCCTGTGTGTTTTACACCAGAGAAGCAGCAGCTACCAGGGGCAGAGGCAAGTGTGGGGGACATTGTCGATATTCTGCGTAGATGTGAATACCCTTCAAAACGTTGTCTTCGTGCGACCTTTATATTTTCGGAGTAGAAGAGCAAGTCTGGGCGTCGATGGCGTATGACGACCTTTGTGATCACCCGACCTTCAGAGAAACATTCACGTGGACGACTCGGGGTGCCGGATGTCCGTATGTTCGATGTGGATTAGCAGTATTGGGCCAGCAAATGATCCTGGGGGGATATATATAGCTGGCCCCAACCTTAGAGTTCACGGAATGCAAACAAGGTCCCTGAAAACTCATCTGAATCCATTCGGAGCGAGGCTACAATGTGAATATGATTTACTGAAACAGTTTGCGATTTCACTTTATATCACTTGCTACTCGTAAAACGTTTGAACCATCCCACCATCGCACGTTGACACTCTTCCTTTGCCCACCCTATCAGAAGTAAGAGTATGTAAATTCAAATCACGGAAAAAGGTGACAAACACTGACTTTCAGTCTCGACTTCTGGATCTCCTCTTGTTCCGAAGCCGTGCGACACGCCACTGAATATCTGAAAATAGTATGACGCCTTCTTCTCCACAAGAATATCCTCAACGTGTCGTCGGAATGGCGCTGGGAATGCGGAGTCCGTTTCTATTGGATAGCATGAGTGAAGTACGCTTCAGAGGACTGGAAGATGTGTCTATACCTGCGCAAGAGAACAACAAGGGCACTAATTGCATAGCTTGGTCAATGCTGTTATTGAAAAACATATCACGGAACCTGCCTTTGCTCGCTCTCAGGAGGTCCTCAGTCAAGCTCGTAGGATGGGCGACGGCGGCTAGCAGATGAATTCGCATACAGACACGAAAGGTAGAGAGACATGTCACATACCACACGATAGCATATCAGTAGCTGCAACCTGGAAGACATAGGGCGCGCCAAAACAGAAACCTTGATCCAGTATGAAAGCTGCAGTCCTGTAGGACCCAGCCTACTTACCAACGGCACAGTAGTTCACATTCGTTCCTATTGTCGTTCCATAAAATTTCGGCATGACATGTATGCTGAAAAGGATCGTACCGAACATTTCCTTGACACCATCCACCCACTTTGGGACGCTAGCCCTCGCTTGCTCGACAGACTTTGTTCTCCACGTCGGGCGATCAAACCCAGGTTTGTCGAGATGCAGATGCACAGGATCACCAAAAAAGTAATCTATCCCAACCACGGTGAAACCTGCTTTCCTGATCAATACGCACACAAAGAAACTATACACACAGAAACGTACCCTGAGAAGCGTAGTAATCTTGAACCAATTGAGCATTGATATAGAATGGCCCAAAGACATCTGAGAAGTATAGGATGACAGTTCCCACTTCGGACGCAGCGGGAGCTTGCGGAGTAGATAGGTATGTGGGCACGCCAGCGATGGTGATGCTTTTACCCTTGGGTGTACCGCTATGTGCGACTGAAGTGAAACAGTGGTCTGTCAGTGGGCCTGCGAGTGTGGACGACATGGCTCTTGGTATGGAGAGGAGTCGCAAAGTGGGCAAATCATGGAGTTTCCTTTCGAGCTTGCGTCCCACGCGATTCTCGGTGACTCTCCACACATCCAGTGCACTCGGCGTCTCATGCAAAGGCCGATACTATGTTTTGATCATGATGGTGGGCTAAGTGCGGGGTTCCTGGAATTGTGTAGCTATTTTTATCCTGTCTGAAGTAAAACCGTCAGTCTGCACTCTTCACTGATTCATATACTTAGGTCGACGTCTCCTATAGTAGGCAGACCAAATAGAAGGAAGATGATTATCCCTTCTTTATTGTTCGAATACCGCAGCTCCAAAACTATGTCGACATCGACATGCTTCGCCTCGAGCAGATTACTCGCTCACAACAGCGGACAGTCACGGTCATGATGTGCCTTACAATCGCTGGCGCTGCGGCCTTGCATCTCGACGTCTGCGTCATCGATAACAGGACCGGGCATCTAGTCCACCAGCATCTGCGTACAAGCTGGACCGCCTACTATGCCTTCATTCATTATGTGGGAAAGGAGCGGGACAAAAATGCGACGAATAGATCACTGATGTGCATAGGTTAGTGGGAAACTCTGCAATTCCAAGTTCTGAATGTAGCAGAAGATGCCATGTCGTTATTTGAAACCGGGCCATCACGCATCATATTTCAAGAACACCTAACACCCTTTATAGGAAAAATGCGTGCACAGTGGGGCAGCGGGTCCCAGGCAGTTATCTGCCTGATGAATGCTGAGCTCGCTTCCAGGTCTGTTAAAACTGGAATAGAAAATTACAGAATTGCTGCCGCGCAGCGTGCATTTTGGCACAATGTGTTGATCACCGATGCTATACTGTCTCAAGCTGACTCGAGGCGCCATGTCTGCTATATAACGATATAGATGGAGCTGGCGATATTGCCCACACAATTGTACATCCCCCAGGTATAATTTTTTTTCACCATGGCTTCACGACATATCCCACTAGACGCCGCTGTCATCATGTCAACGGTTCTGGAAGGCATTTTATACGGTGGGTATCGCATTGAGTTTTCCTGTCCCATACCCACCAAGCTAGTGTTCGTCAGGCTTTTCAGTTCTCATGTTCATAGGTACGATCTGGACATTCACCTACAAACGTCACGTTCGGGACATCAATTGGCCAATTGCTGTGGTTGCCACCCTGTTACTCGTACTGAGTACCGCGGTTAGTTTCCCGCCGCTTTCATTTCATGCCATCTGCTGAAGTCTTGTCAGCACATAGTCGTAAACATCATTTATCTCGAAGATGGACTGGTGAAGTATCACAACACGTTCCCGGGCGGTCCACAAGCGTTCTTCGCATACACTCCGCAAGCAACATTTTTAGCCAAGAGTGCAATATATATATTGCAAACTCTGGTTGGCGACGGAGTGGTGGTGGGTTCAAGTTTTTATTTGCCAAGTTGAATCGGCTAACAAAAGTTGACCTTCTGACTAGATTTATCGATGTTACGTCGTTTGGCAATCTATTTGGGTTATTATTATACCATGTATAATGTGGTGCGGTGTCGCAGGTTATTCTATAATCATACTCAGAAAGTTATGTGCTCTGACGTTGTTTTGAAGGGTGTAGCGTTTGTATGGTCTACTTCTTTTCGCAAGCGTCGATTAGCGAAATCGAAAATTTCTTCACCAGCAAGCTTGGACATTGGGTTGCGGCGTTCCTGTCATCCACACTTGCGACTAATTTGTTGAGTACAGGTAAGCACACTTCTGCGTAAGCGCGCTGCTGAGGCCAACCTCAATTTCCCTAGGATTGCTGGCATATCGCATCTGGACAATCGAACGCAATGTCTCTACATTTCGCGCTACGAAGGGCAGAGTGCCTATATTGCGCATGCTAATGGATGCTGCTATTTTGTACTCTGCGGCGCTCTGCTCCTCGCTAATATCTTTCGCCCTCTCGAATGATGGTCTGTTTGTTGTAGCAGACGTGGTAATTTCGCTTTTAACACCTGTTATCGAAAATCTCTGAAGTTCATTTAACTAGATCAACCCGATCATCTCGATAACCTTCTACATGGTGTTTATTCGCATCGCCGTCCGCCAAAACAATACAGATTACGTCTCGACTGTACATGTCGGTGGAGGGACTACAGAACAAGGCACACCGCAACACCCCCTGAAGAATATATGCAGAGAAAATGACGTACCCTTCTTGGTTGATAGCCCGAAATTAGTAGGAACGCATCTAGTAGGGTAGTTATCCTGCATAGTAGACTTCTGCAAAGCTAGCTACCTTCATACTTTCGCATGTACGCTCTTCGTTCTGTTACCTTTGCGTCAGATTTTAATTTGAGTCGTGCGCTCTTGTAATATGTCCTCCTTATTGTGACTACTGGATATTTTGTCACTTATCGAATCTTTGTTCAGAGCTGTCTTCGTTAATTACAGTCTCACTATCTATTCATACAAGATCACTCTCGTCCACTGTAACTCATGTGTCGCAAATACGAGCTTAAACCTCAGACGTTTGCCGCCATTACATGCAATCAAGCTGTCGATGATCGGCGCTCAACAACCGCACCCGTCATAACGCCGTAAACCGGTCAAACCACTGCAAGACCCCCCTAGCGCTTTCTTCCTTTGCCCAGCCTGCATTCAGTACCTGGTCAATATCGATATTCAAGAAATTAGACCAGGCCACTCACGCTCCATCTCAATGTCAGGATCACCTCGTACAGCAAACCCATGCTTGACGCCTGAAAAAACCTGCAAATAATACGTGGATTTGCGGCTGACCATGATGTCTTCTGCTCGCCTACGAGAGGCGAGTGGGAATAAGAAGTCATCCTCTATGAGAATGAGGTTGGGAATCAGGGTGTTACTCAGTAACGCAAGTATCTAAGGGAAGGAAGGGAGATTTACCTGCGCAGGAGAGAAGGATAGGTCCTGCAGTGATGGTTGGTTTTAGCAGCATAATGGTAAATCAAGCACGAGAAATGTACCTTCAAGTTTCTCAAAGTGGCTTTCATCAATAATTGTGGGGTGAACCAGAGCTCCTAGAGTTTTCTTATGGGCATCCTTCTTTGGGAGCGGCCGAATGACGTACCAGCAACTACGGATCCGTCAGAACACAAGTCCATGACGAATGGTGCTCCGAAGCAGTACCCTGACCAAGGCCCAGAATTGAGTTTTTTTTTTTGGCGTTGCTTGTATATTGACATACCAACAGCACAGTACTTGGTATTCTCAGTCCCTACGGAAAGCATGAATATATTATGCAAGGTTGGAACAAGACACGTACCATATTTTGCTTTCACACTCTCTAGCCAAGCGGGGAACGCATCGACAGCAGGTTTCTTTACATTCGCAAGCCACGTCTGCAGGTCGCGTCCAGGCGGGTGGTTTGGCACCGCATCGCCGAAGAAGTAGTCCGGCCCAAGGACAAGATAGCCTAGTCCCGTTCATATCCGTTTCGATCCATAATGTATAAGTAGACAAAACGAGACGCACCGCAAGACGCAAAATAATCTTGAATCAACTGATTGTTAATGAACAGCGACCCCCATATGTCTGACAGGAACAGGATCACTTTCTGTGTTGTAGCAGAAGCAGGAGGATCGGATATATATGTTTGGATCCCACCAAGGTCCTCGATGCGGCCGACGGGCGTGCCTGTGTGTTTTACACCGGAGGAGCAGCAGCTACCAGGGGCGGAGGCGAGTGTAGGGGACATTGTCGTGATTAATATTGTGCGTGAGGGTGCTAATCTAGTTGCATCCACCCATTTCTATGTAGCGGGCGTGCGAGCTTTGTTACATGTTCGGGACTATGACTAGTCAATGACGTATGATAGTACTTGGCGTTGATCATCAACCGCATCTACGCCGAAAACTTGGTTACCGGATGATCGAGTATGGGGACAAGCTATACCCTTGTAGAGCACGCCATTCTGTTTCACATCTGGAAGTGAGCGTTATCTGCAGAAATGAACAGCCATTTCATTTGATAACAGCTTCAAGTGAACCATTCCACGTTGGCTTGCCCACCCTGTCAGGAGAGAAGTCCTGTAAGGATTCAGAAAACGCGGCGAATACTGACTTCTAAATCCCCACCGGTCCCACAGACAACCTTGCAAAAGACTGCGGATTATTTGTACGTCGCCGTATTTCCACGAGGACTCGAACAAGTATCTTTTCCATGGACTGGTGTGGCCGAAGAGCACTTGAAAAGAGTATTATCGCGAATCGTGAGTGGCCTAGTTTGATTTCTTAGACATCGAAATCGGCAAGGTACTGAATGAATGTTGATGCAGGCTGGGCAAACGAGGAGAGCGCTAGAGAAATCGTGAGTTGGTTTGATCGGTTTATGATTTAGGCTCGTTATGATGGGTGTATTTGCATTAGGAGAAGCAAGATTGATGTCTTGGATGGTTATCTAACGAATTGGAGAGTCGGGATTAAGGCCGAGTGTATGTTGATTGTTGTTATTTTGAACTATGTATCGTTATACATGCTCTTATCCAAACTTCACCGGTTCACTGATGAGTCCATGTCCACGGTCGGTCATGATCTCGGTCATTGGCTCTCGATCATGGATCATTAACATTATCTGCAGAAATCCCATTTTTTGTTGCGCCGCATTGTTGGCTTCTGGGAGCTTAAAAGGTGACAGAGCATCTGGTCACGTTTTTGGTTGTGTTGGTTCGCAACAGAAAATCCATTATCCCAGACCAGTATCATCCATCATGTTTCAGGAACACCCCTAACAGCGCCCAAAATCTTGTATAGCAAATACGTGCTTGGGCCTCGGGGGAAGCAGTACTGAAAGGATGCTTGTTCGCTTGATGACTGGTTTAGCTGATCCAGGGTCTCGTCACGTTCAAGTTCTGTTAGAATTCGAGGTGACATTTCGAACGGTGCTCAACAGCAATCTCGGCAAACTCGTCGGGTTTGCTAAAGTTTGTGCACACTGCATTTATGATTGCTTCTGTGATGATATTAAAAGTTGAGGCATTTCTACTATTCAAAGATAACAAATGCAAGTTGAGCTGGCGAAGCTACTGACGTTGTTGTAGTAGATCCCCTGGATATCACCGCTATGGCTTCTAAATCCACCACAGGTCTCCCGTTAGATTCTGCCAATATAATGTCAACAGTTCTGGAAGGCATTTTATACGGCGAGTATAATGAGTTCTTACATTCCATGCACACCAACCTAGCGTTCTTTTTCCAGGCTTTTCAGTCCTCATGTTTATAGGTACCATCTGGACATTCACTTACAAACAACGCATCCGGGACATCAATCGGCCAATCGCTGTGGTTGCCATATTGCTATTTGTACTCAGTACTGCGGTTAGCTTCGTACCATTTCCATTTGATTTTATTCACTGAAGTCTCCCAAGCACATGATCGTAGGTATTGTGCGTCTCGAAGATGAACTAGTGAAGTACGGCAACACCTTCCATGACGGGCCAGCCGGGTTTTTCGCAGACGTTACCCAACAAACATTTTTGATCAAGAATACGATAATTACCTTACAAACTCTGCTTGGCGATGGAGTAGTGGTGCGTTCAACCTTTTTATTATCTGCAAGCTTGAAATACTCGTGACTTATAAATTTCTTTTCCGACAAAAGATCTATCGATGCTATTTCGTTTGGCAATCTGTCTGGATTATCATCCTACCATGCATGATGTGGTGTGGCGTCGCAGGTTATTTGCAGCTATACACAGAAAATTCGGTGCTCTGACGTATGTTGTTTTGCAGCGTTCGGGATTTGTATGGTCTACGTGCAAGCACCGACTACTAATGCCAAAAATGTCTTTGGCAACAAGACTGGACATTGGATCACAGCGTTCCTGTCCTTGACGCTTGCAACTAATCTACTCAGCTCAGGTAAGTTCACTTCTGCCTAAGCGTTGTGTCGAGGCCTATAATATTAATGAACCGAATATATGCAGAGTTATTGGCATACCGCATCTGGACGATCGAATGCAATGTCTCTGGAGCTTACGCCACGAAGAACAAAATGCCTATATTACGGGTGCTCGTAGATGCCGCGCTTATATACTCTGCAGCGCTTTGCGCCTCACAGGTATGTTTCGCTCTCTCGAACAATGGGTTTTATGTTATAGGCGACTTGGTATGCTATTCCGCTTTGTCAGCTCATCAAAATTACTGATCAGGGCTTTGCTCAACCGTGTAGATCATCCCTATCATCTCTATTGCCTTCTACATGGTGTTTATCCGCATCTCAATCAGCAAGAACATCCAGGAATGCCTCTCGGCTACTGTTTGCGGAGGGAGAAAACGAGTCGGACCGAAGAATGTCATTGAGATGTCCTGTGCAGCCTTCGATGCAGATTGGATACGAGAAAGATGATATCCTCCTGACCGACAGAGACAGCTTAAAGATAGATGCGACCTTATCTACCCAAGTATAATTTACTGAATTCCTTTGAATTGTATTACTATATCCTCCCGCTTGAAGGACGGTGGCCACCTCATTAAGGAACGCCTTGGCACGAGGCCTTGACCGTGTACTCTACTTTACCGACTTATGTATCAGGGATGTTGCAAATTCAAACCATCACTTTCTAAAACGACCGGCTGATCGATTCGTGCTGTGCATCCGAAAACGCTTGAATACACAACGGTATATTCGTTAATCGTATGTAAAGAACGGAAGCAGCCATTGAAGCTGCATGTACGTGAGCGCACCAGAACGATCGCGTACGAAGTATAGCAGAAATGAGTGAGACTAGTAAGAAAAGTACGTGCAGTCGGCAGCACCAGGCAGCTGCACGATTAAAGCCATCAGGGTAAATAGGAAAGCAAGAGCTGAAAACGGTATATCAGAGCACGTGTGTCAGTGAAAAGAATTTTGAATCAACAGTAGTCCATCCATCGTCACTCGCTCACTCAAATTCTCCCGGTGTAAGGCGACCTCATCGCCAGTGAATCGTACCTGCCATGAGAAAGTGCCTGTGTTGTGCCTGTCCCGTTCGCAACGCCAGAGGTGTATGTCATAGAATCAAGGTGCCGAGACCGAGCTAAGATATCGGACGCGACTTCGGTACCGTATTGTTCCGCCAGTTGACTGTGGCGAAAACGTTAACATATACATGCGGGGATAGATAGGAAATAACCCACTTGGCATAATTATCCATGATGACGGCCATACTTGCCATGCTGAGTCTATAGGCTTTGGGCATCATGCCTTTACCGAAGCGATAGGTTACGTGGTTTGAACATAAGAGACCCGCGAGCATGATAACGAGCTGGAGCGGCACAAGGGAGAAAGCGATAGTGTACCAGATTTCCAAGACGCGTTTCTCAAAGTTGACGTATGCCTCTTTGCACCCCGGGAGGACGGAGCGAGCGTAACAGCTTTGGGAGACAGTAGCTTCAACGAAGGGCGAGTAATATCCACAACAATGGAGCCTGTTTTGAATCCTGAGACGGCCCTCTGCGCCGAGGTCACGAGACCACTGGGCATTCAATTTGCCTTCGAGGTTGAATGTACGTTGTTTGTAGGTCGTGTAGCCGGGGGGTAACGAGGAGGGCAAAGCAGAGCCAGAGAGCGAAAGTGTAGACTGCTAGGAAAGAGCGGTTGTTGAGGAGGATGCCGGCCCAGCCGATTACAGAAGTAACTGAGCGAGGGCGGCAGCGGCAGTGGAGAGAATGAGTTCTTCTCGGTTGCCTACACGAACAATGTCTGCGTGTTCGAAGACGTCAAACCATGTGAGAAGACAGAAGATGAGGCCTGCGAGGGCGTAAGTGGATAACTGCAGGAGATGCATGAGGAAAAGGAAAGTATGAAAAAGGGAAAAAGGTACTGACTGCAAGATTGGCAATGAAGAGTGCCCATTTGAACCTGTTCCAGTGCATGCGGGGACGGGTGTGACCACCTTCTTTGCCACCGAACCAACGACCAGTGATACCGTCGTAGTCTTCGTCACCTTCTGCGGGCATACGGGCCTCACTGCTCTTAAAGGCCTCCCTACCTCCACCTCTCTTGTGCATGGCTGGATGATCAGCATTGTCCTTTCCTAGTTTGCGTCTGCGGGGAGTGGGGGAGAGTAAGCCAGAAGAGAACTTGTTAGGTAGATAGTTGACAGAAAGGGAGAGGTCCTTTGTGCTCTCTGCGCGGGGAGATGGGGGAGCAGAAGAAGAATCGTCAGCGGCAAAGAGAGGAGCAGGGGGCTCAAGGGGAAGTTGCATGTCTGCAAGGATTGGCCTGGTAGAAGGCGCAAGTGAATAGGCTGAGTGGGCGTGAGAGGCGAGAGAGGAGGGTCGACGGTTGTGACTGGGGAAGCGATTAGTATCTAGTGAGGGCAAAGAGGGCAAATTAAGATGGTATATAAGAAAAGACAAGATGTTTCGATGAAAGTTTTTTATTATAAAGAGGAGTGAAGATTCAAAGCACGACTCACCCGCTAAAACTTGGATGGTCGATCATGGCCTGCAGTCTAGTACCTGTACTAGTACTTACTCAATTACCGTTGCCAGGACCAAAATGGCATAAACGTTACCGTATAGCTAGCACTTGGCACGTTTTTCTCGTATCTAATCAGCAGTTTTCTTGAGCAACTGTCCGATAAAATCCGTACGTATTCCGGATCCCAGACTCAGTGAATACGTTGTGGCAACGTTGTGGAGTAAATGTCAGACCCAAACTATTACGCCGCGCGACATGTCACATTTCATTAAAACGCGTGACTGACGCGTCACGCAGCTCCTCAGGGATGTCTACAATGTACGACACAAATACACGTCCGTTAAAACGTCAGCGCACACTCTCCATTTCGGCCTCGCCGATGCCGAGATCTTCGTCACTCACTCCATCCCAGACGCCAGCACTCCGCCCCCTCCCTCCAGCAATCTTACTCCTTGCGCTTCCAGGGCTTCTGGCACTTCCTCCGACTCATCCAGACTTTGGCTTTTCACTCTTTCTCTCCCTCCGCTCATTAAGACAATGCTTAGCACTGCCTGCCTCTCGCTCCTGATGTAGAATGTCATGCTTGGACAAGTTTAGCTGAAGTCGGCACGAGAGTCATGGAGAGTGGCTTTTGCTCGCAGGAGGGAGGATGTGACTGGGCTGTAGGTATTCATTCCGAAGTGCGTCATGTTCTTTTTTTGCCAGTTGTGCATGCTGACAAGTATAAAAGGTCGAGAAAGCACTTAGCAAAGGCCTTCTCATCGCACAAAAAGTTTGTCTCTTCTCATTTTTGATATAAGCAATTGACCCTATCATCGCAATTCAGCACCCTTCGCTTCGGCCGCTTCGCCACCACCTCACACTCCTCCATGCTCATGTTGCATTTACCTTCCCTTCCTCTTCCACATCCCCAAAATTTGCACGTGCTATCCTCAGACGCCTCATTGCGTCATTTGTACCCTCAGATCCTCCAGGCACCGTATATGATGCACACCTAGCATTAATCACCCAGATTAATACCCCTTCATCTAATGCTGCTGCTAATGCCAGCCCTGCACCACTAGGTCCCCCCGCCCTCCAAGCAACACTCACCGCTATAGATACTTTAATAACTCTCGCACGCAAAAACCATCACCCCCGGATCATTGCCCTCGCTCACGTCATTAGGTTGCGTGTCCTCCTTCGTGCAGGTGTATGGACCCAAGTAGGGGCTGCTCTTGATATTGCGGAGGCCGTGCTTGGCTTGATGTTCGACAAGGACGGCAAAGTTAGGAATGGCAAGGGTAATATCAATGCGATGGCAAACGCCAAACAAGATGATGACGCGCTTCCCCGTTGGAACTCTATAACTGCTCACGACGTTAATTCTCTCTCGCGCGAATATTCCCAAGTGCACATCACCAACCATTCAAATGTGGAACCCAGACAAGACGAGGAAAGCACGCGGTCAGACCCTGCTCATGCTTCCCTTGTTATTCATACACTTCTCTCCGGTACCATATTTTTTACTTTCTCCGGAAACATTCGTGCAGCCGAGCAAAGGCTCGTCGCGCTCCACGAAATTATCGATAGCGGAGCACTCGAGGGGTTCAAAGACGGTATTGTCCAGGTATGCTTTCCGTTTTCTCTTTCGAGTTTCTCTCCCCCTGGTCCTAACTACGCAACTCGTATAGATTCCTCTCCCTCCGCACCCTCCCCTAGCAGTCCATACCACCCACCCACTCATACTTCTCCCTCTTACATTTCTCGTCAGCGCCACTGCGAAACGGGACCCAGTGGGCAGAAACCCAAAGAGACGACTCTGGGCCGAAGCAGCAATCAGTATTCTCAATACTGCAAAAGAGGATATTAAACGTAAGCTTTGTTTCGTATCTTTTTGTCGTGCCGTTGATCACTATTGTATTGATCCTGACGCTCATTTATCTTCAGTGCCGCTCTGGGCTTCCTTAGCAGACAGAGACGAAATAGTACAGCGTACAGTAAGACTCACAGCCGATCTTTTATGCGAGCTCGTCGCGGTACGTTTAATTACATTTCACCTCGTATTCCTCATCTCATCCTCAAACACAGATATCCATCCAACGCTCTGAATTCGACACCGCAGAGTCACACCTAAACGCACTACTCACCCTAATCCACACTCACGACCTCTTCCACTCATATAGCGCCCGCATCACCCTCCACGCCGCACACCTCGCACATGCACTCGGAGATACCGAACGTGCAGACGTATGCTATCACGTCGCTAAATCCATAGATGACGAACGCAATACGGGGGCCGGGTATGTAGGTGCTGCTGCATGCGCTGGGGAAGCATTGTTGCGCATAGGACTACGAGCTCAGGCTCAGGGTGATGGCGAGCACTCGAACCCTACTGTGAATGAAGACGCTAGCAGTGCCAAAAGCGACTGGTTGGACGCTGAGACACATGCGCTGGCTGCGTCTGCGATCCAGCGGTGTCACGGGATGGGAGGGACGCTTGAAGCGGTTGGGAAGGTAGTGCAGGCAGCTGTGGCGGGTGCGAGGGGGGAGATTGTTGGTGCCAAGTGCGTTTCTTATTTTTTTTATTTCGCTCCAAAAATTTCATAACCAACTCGTGCTTACAAACTGATTTCTGGCGCAGATCTCACCTAAAAACTGCGCTGTCTTTATCGACGTTAGCAGGCGAGAACCATCTCCGTGCGTTGCTCCTCGCGCAAGTGGGTGCACAGTATTTGCATACGGCACCTGCGCATGCTATGGAGACGTTGGCCGTGTGCGAGACGCTTGGCGCTGGAATGGGCGCGAAGCAGAAGGACGTCGATGGTGGGAAAGGTAAAGGAAAGGAGAAAGAGAATGGCACGGACGGTGGTGATGGGTCGATAGGCAATGCCCCGCTTCGCCTCTGGGTCGGCGAAAGATTCCTCGGTATGTTTCCTATCTCTCTTCTTTTATGTTGTTCAGTGCTGATGATCAACCGCAGATATATTTAAGCGCGCGAATAAGCAGCACCGAGTGGCAAAGCAAGAGGTGTATAATACTATGTATCGGGGTGCGGTAGAAGGGATGGTGGGGAGGGTGAGGTGGCCTTCTGCGATGGAATCTGCTGATGATGAAAAGGGGCCTGCCGACAGTGAAGATGTCAAAATGCAGGATCTGGATCTGGATCGGGATGTTGAGATGTAGGTGCCTGCATCTCTCGTTGTTCGTTTAAGGGTGACGGAGGGTGATACATCTTGAACACTGTGGTTTCGGGCTGCCTGGACTAATATTGCTAGAAGCACTTAAAAGTGATTGATACTCGCAACGACACACATAACATACTCAACACCTGATCGCATAAAGTTTACACTGCCATCATATAGCATATCAACCAAGTATTACATACAGTAATGTAGGTACTCCTGTAGAATAACGCCAAAGGCCAGCTTAGTAGACTTTCTCAAGTCATTGTATAGTCATTGCGCTTGGTGCGTGTTAAATAAGTTAGACCCCTCGCTCGCAGGGTCAGCTAATAACATCGCGATCAGTCGCGTTGAACTCTGATATTATCAACTTCCGGTTGGCAACACAAGTTTGACTTGCATAATAAGTAGCCTATAGCACACGAGCTTCCTTCGAATGTATCCATTGCTACTCTTCCACTTGCAAAGACACAGCCTCAGATGCCACGACCTCCACATCAACGCAATCCCCAGCTCTAGCAACCAAGCCGATTTTGACGCCCTTCATAAACTTGGAGGGTCAGCAAAGGAATGCTCGATCCTATCCTACTTTCCGGATGGCCGACAAATGTTCAGTGTAATAGTATAATCCACCATAGGGGGGAGGGGGGTATAAAGAGAAGTGAGAAGTGAGAAACATGAGAAGTGAGATGTCAAAAGTGAGAAATGGGAGGTGAAAAATGAGAAGTGAGATGTCAAAGTGAGAAGTAAAAAGTAAATTATGAGAGGTGAGATATCAAAAGTGAGAAGTGAGAAGAGAAGTGAGAAGTAAAAAATGAGACATGAGAAGTAAAACGTAAAAGGTGATATTTGAAAAGAAACTCACGGGCTACTTGTCGAAAGAGCATGAGAAAGGCATCAAACAGTTCATCAATGGCCTTCGTGCAATTCCTCCCGGGCATAACGAAGTTGTCTCAAAGGATGCCCTGGACTTGTTCCTCAACCGTGTCAAAGCAATAGAGGCTAAGAGAGAGGCTGGACGTTTGGAAAACAGCTTCCTCTGACGTTGACCTTGGGCTAGTGATAAAATTTTCCCATAGCATTTATCGACCTTCTTACTGATGTATCAGACATCCAGGACCTAGAAAAGGCAGCTGGAGGTAATAATTGCACATGCGATAACCACTACAACGTAGAGACAGGTGGAGAAAACATACGTCTCAACATGGCCATCACGTCCCTCTTCGCTGCCATGTAGCAACAGGCTCAGTTTGCTACCATGCCATCTGTAGATCTCACCACTTTCTCCGTTGTACCAGCCAATGTTCTTAACTGCAATGTCAAGATATTCATCAACATCATATATGTTGCCAAAGGTAACTACAATGGTGGCTAGTAAGAAGTAAAGTGAAATGTATGGTGCAAAAGGTTGTAAGCATGGGCCATGTCTGCTTTGCAAGGCGCGCAGACAAGAGCAGAATGAGCACAGATAACGCCCTTGCATTGTTGCGTGCTCGAAGGCTGCGTCAAGGAGGGCGACGGCATGGCGAGGGTAGTACTGCTAGAGGAGACGATCTGTTGAGAGCTGGGGGTCTTCGTGACGCTGTGGACATAGGAATTAATGACACGATGTATGGGAAGGCGAATGGCTGTGGATACCAGCGGTAAAATGTGCATGATGGATGCTGACGATTTGATTCAACATGCAGCGACGACAGGCAGCGCATACCCTTGCCATTTTTTGCTGCCATCTCCATTGCTATCAGTCAGACAGATTGACAGGGAGACTGCACCGCCACAACTGGCGCAATCGGTGACGAAGCCAGTGGGAGACAGGCGGAGGAAAATCAAGAAAACAAGCAAAAGACAAGGATAAGGATTACGACAGTCAAGACTACGATACGATAAGCAAGTCAAGGATAAGAAACGCGATAGTCAAGACTACGATAAGGAAGTCAAAGATAAGGATCACGATAGTCAAGACCACGACAAGGATAAGAAACGCGATACCATACATAGGATACGATACGATAGTCAAGACAAGGACAAGAAACACGATAGACTACGATACCATACGACAGTCAAGACAAGGATAAGAAACGCGATAGACTACGACACCATACCGCACGATAACTTACGATAACAATACGATAGACTACCTATATGAGTTGAAACATTATGGGGGCATAATTTTTTCCTGCAGGAAAGGAAGAGGAAAAGAAAAAGGAAATTATATAATTGGTTAGAAAAGGAAAGAGGAAAATAAATAATCAATTTATTGGTTATTACATAATGCAGAAGCACATGATTGGTGGCAGCGGTTATTACATAATGTCCAGGAGCAAAGGTAAGAGGGAAATTGCATAAAGGCAATGAGGAAAGTCCATCATTCACAAGTCATAGACCTAGATGCACATTACATAAAGGGAAAGGAAAGAGGAAATTATATAATGAAGGAAGGGCAAGCACAAATCATATAAAAGGAAAGAGGAAATTATGTAAAGGGAAGGAGGAAATAATATAAAAGGAAAGAGGAAATTATGTAATGAGGAAAGGGAATATTTTCCTTTGTCATAAGACTATGGTAGTACAACTTTGATTTTCATCGGAAAAGTTCCCACGGTCAAGGTGCTTTCTTGAACCATCCACTTTCGAGTATTTTGCTTATAATTCACTAGGATCTTAATCTATTGATGTCATAAGACCATAGTTAGACTCTCCTTGACAAGGGCTACAACTTTCATTTTCATCGGAAAAAGTTCCCACGGTCAAGGTGCTTTCTTGAACCATCCACTTTCGAGTATTTTGCTTATAATTCACTAGGATCTTAATCTATTGATGTCATAAGACCATAGTTAGACTCTCCTTGACAAGGGCTACAACTTTCATTTTCATCGGAAAAAGTTCCCACGGTCAAGTAAGCAAAATGCGACAATTCACCAAGTCTTTTATCTGGTAAGTCTTTCTTTTGCTTTCTCTCTTCTTCTCCTTCCCTCTTCTTCTTCTAGCTCCGCATTTTGACTATTTGGTTAGTCTTTCTTTCTCTCTTCTTATCCTTCCCTCCTGACCCTCTCCTTGTCCTAGCTCCTCACTTTTGACTATGGGTTAGTCAGTCTTTATCTCTTCTTCCTTCCACTGAATCATTTTCGCATTTTTGACCATTTGGTAAGTCTCTTTAAGTTTGAGTTTGAGTTATCTGCTAGCTCGGTGAGGGTACAACATAGTGCAATGTGAAGCAATGAAAGAAGTAGCTCTATTTTCTGAGTGGAAGATAGGGTTACACTTTCTAAGTGTTGGTCAAGGTGTGATGTTGTGATGTGAATCATTTGACCTGGGAAAGCAGATAGCAGCAGAGAAATGATCCAAGGTACGCTGAATGAGCCTCTAAGGGAGCACCTAAGTGTCAGAAAGCACTGGAGTGTGTGAAGCTTGAGAGAAGTGGCTCTCAATGCAAGATGAAGTCTATATGAAGTGATAATATGATTGTGGCTCTAAAGTGTGGCTCTATACTTTGTGATATGTGGTAGTAGATAGGTGGTAGAAGGTAGTGTAGCGTAAGTAATGCCACTTCAGCTCAACACAAAGTGAACCAGAGTGAGGTAAGCGCTATGTAATGACTACCAGGCCCATGAGAAATGGTAAGTTGGAGGCGGCGGGTTACTGGGAGTTCAAGGCGAGTTTCATTACATTTTAAAATTTAGGGTTGATAGCTGACTCTGAATAATTCATGGACCCTACTTAATTGTCTGACATACTTGTCTAACTAATGTGAGTCTACTGTGACTGCCATAAACCTCTGGGGCATATTTGCCAGTGCTTTTTTGACAGAATAAAGGACCCACGCCAAATTGAAATACTAGTATCTTTAGTCTGGTGAGTATCAACGTTTACTAAAACCTGTCCATTGGTATATTGATGTGCACTGGGGATATTTCGATTCTGGTGGTGAGGTGACAATACTCACCAGAACCTTTCCGATGGTGGGGTGCCATTTGCGGATGTTCACCAAAACCTTTCCGGTGGCCCAGCAATGTAAAGTTCACCAAAAGTTTCTGGTGGTGTGGTTACATAACTGTCCATGTTACCAGAACTTAGCCGCCCATTTTCGTCTTGATGTGGTGCCAAAACGAGCAGAGTCTGGATCCGATATTAGAGGCCATTGTTGAACCCTGAATTTTTTCCCTAGTCTCTGAAATCTTTCGCTAGCCATACACTGTATCAACCCGCACTCCTCATACCATGCCTGGAATTCGCCCTACTCATCATTCCCTTCAGTTTCCATGTTTATCTCCAGGCTGTATGTGCTGGTTTCAAAACGCCTCAGGCTGCACTCAACACATGTATGCATGCCATCCAGTTGCACTCGCTCAAGATTTTCTACCAACATCGCCTCAGTTGCCACCTCCTGATTTCTTGCCACCCCCACCTGATGTCATACCATTGGATGATGATGAGGATCCAGAGTCAGAATTCACGGATGCGAGCGGGCATTACTATTGTACATATCATTTGCTCATCAATGGTAAGTTCCTTTCAATCAGTGTCCATTCATGAATTGTGACTCAGACACACTCTTAGGACTGCCATGCACAGCTGACAGTGTATTTCTACCGCCCAGTACACCACCAACTCCTGCTCCATTGAAGTCTCCTCACGACTGGAGTCTGTATCACAGTGATGTTGAGTTTGCAATGGCAGAGTTTACCTTCAAGCAATGCCATATGTCTAACAAAGCTTCGGACATACTATTCGACTTGATGGCTGTGCAGCTATTAAAACACAACGACTCCCCTCCATTCGTGGACCACAAGGATTTGCACAAGGTCATTGACGCTACACAGCTTGGCAATGTCCCTTGGCAATGTCTCTCGGTTCAATACGCTGGGGAACGCCCTGAGCACGATACTCCTCCGTGGATGGGCAAAGACTATGAAGTTTGGTACAGAGATCCCCGCGTGATGGCACACAACATATGACGAAGCTATGCGACACTCTGATCGAGACGACTGGCTTGCAGCCATGAAGCAAGAAATGAACCTGATGTCTGAGATGGGAGTTTACGAGCTGGTCCCACTCCCAGACAATCGGATAGGGTTAGTTAGGGTTAGTTTGGGTTAGTTAGGGTTAGTTTAGGGAAGATCTAAAAGGCGGGTCAGTTTATAAAGCTCGTCTCGTGGCACAGGGATTCTCTCAGGTGCCAGGCATTGACTTCGGCAAGACCTTTGCGCCTGTTGCCAAGGCAGCTTCTATTCAGGTCATCTCTGCACTTGCACACGCAACAATTGGGAACTTGACGTGTTTGATGCGAAACGTGCCTTTTTGTGGGGTAAGCTGTCTGAGGACGTTTACATGTGACAACCTCCTTGGATTTGAGCCTGTCTTAGGTCTCACTGACATTCAAGGCGTGCAGTGTCTGCGATGAGCTGTTCTCGGTACTGGCGCCCATGCTCTGTGGGTTGTTGAGCCCTTCCTGAGCGACGAGGAGGTGCAGGTGCAGGATTGGGAGGGTGTGCCACATTAGGGTGTGGTGCCGCGTAATCATCATCATCATCATCGTTGCTATTGTCAGGGAAGGGACAAGAGGAGAAAGACTCATCGAAAATGCCATCTTGGGAGTTAAAGAATGCCCTGGTGACAGAATCTCGGCAATGCCAAGCTTTAACTCCTGGTGGGTGGCCCATGAACACCGCTTCATGGGATCATGGTCCCAGTCTCTCCTGCAATTTGGCGGGGATGCGTACAAAGCACCGTGCTCCAAATACTCGAAGGTGAGAAACGTTGGGTTTTGCGCCGTGTAGCATCTCATAGGGCATCTTTCCAGGGTCGAGGGAGCGGGATTCGGTACAATGAAGAGATAGGCTGTGCATAGGGCAGCCTCACCCCAAAGGTTGCGAGGTAGGCGAGCATGATTGAGCATCGCGTACATCCTTCCTTCGATCGTGCGTATGACGTGTTCCGCTTTCCTTTTGCACCTGCTAGAACATTCTGCTTCAGTTTTTGGGATATTCTTCTCACATTCTGAAGTCATTACATCACCTTTTTACTTCCATAATATTCCCACACAAAATGTATATAAGGAGAGCCCATTCTCCCCCCCAAAAAATAGATCTCCCAATTCAAGAATCTCCCACTTGAGCAAATTGAACTCTCACCTAAGAAGCTTCAGTCTAAACAAATTGCTGCTTACAAAGCCCATTTCCTTTGTAAGAACTGTCCAGACAAGTGCAGGGTTAGTGTATCCCTTCAGATTATGTAAGT